ATGGATTTATGCATACATTGGGGTCTAGGGGTATCCAGAGTTGGGAAAATGTGAGTTGAAAGAGTTGTTGACGTGGCAGAATTTGGGAACTAAATCATGGTTTCCAAAAGCAAAAGCTTCAAAGAATTAAGTAGGAGGATAGATAGGGAAGTGTTTAAGGAAAGTAAAACCTAGAGGAAGTCAAATTGTATAACTCTGGGCCAAAAAAGGTGTTCCAGGATTGGGAAGGAAACCTAAACAGGGCTCAAATAGGAGTCTCCAAGGACAGAAATTCTAGGGACAAAAAAACAATCAATCCACATACAGCACATCTGAACAATTGGGGTCCCTGACCACCTTAGTTACTAGGACAGTACATTATAAACTACACAAAAACTTCCCAGGGAGGAATTATCCCAGGCTTAAGGGATCTACCTCAGCCCCAGAGAGTAGTCAACTGCACTGAGAAAGTTGCCTGAAAATGTAGAAGTTAGGCTGATATCTGATGTTTCGTCTCAGAGAGGACTTTCTCAAGAATATAGCCCAAGGTGTATCACAACCTCATACCTATTTCAACTTCTTATTCATCCTTTTCATCTCCTTGGTAGTAGTAAAACATGGATCAGTTATACCAACTAGTAATTCTGTATCTCATGCTTAACTTTTACTATCTTAATAATGAATATTCACCACCATATGGAGTTTCCATTCTTTAATGCCTTTCGTGAAATGGGATAAGATGCTACCCCTTATCAGCATCAGAACCACCTGACCAGTGTATTATTTTCCAGACATTTGGATTAACATTGGCCTTCCTCCTCTAATGTGGACAGAGGTGTGAAAGAACCCTCACGTGAAGTGGCTTTGAATCTTGAGTTATTTATGTTTATTGTCTATTTTTTACTTCAGAATGACTAGGTTTTGTTTTGTTTTCTGAGCCTGGAAATTAAGAAGGGGAGGGGAGGAAAGCAGAGACCAATCAGGGCCATGGTCAAGACAAGACCATGGTACAGCTGACTCTGAGGCCTTTGTGCAAACCACAAGACAGGAAGGTTGGGGTCAGTTACCCTTTACTAGATAGACTCCAGTCATGCACTGAATTCAGCACTAGATCCCATCTGATGGAAACTCAGAGAAGCTTATGCATGATTCTACTTCCTCCAGTGGCCAGACTGTGCTGCTGACTGGCTTTGTAGGCAGAAGTGGCAAGAGACTAAATATTTTTTTTCCTCTCTTGAATAAGCCCAATTACTTGAAAGGAAGTACTCTCATATTGTTGATTCCACCCCTACACCCCAAAGCTGGGTTAGGGGCTTGACCTCTTGTTCCCTTGGCTCTTTATCACTGCGCTCACCCCAGTATGATCTCTTTCAGTACCTCACTACAGGAGGACTTCCTTTATGTGCCTTTGGCAGTCTGCTGAAACCTAAGAATCAATTCTTTATTATTTTTTTATTACCATTATTATTATTGGAGACAGTGTCTCACTCTGTTGTCCAGGCTGCTCACAGGCTGCTCTGCCGTGAG